ATTTAGGGATTGCATCACCCTACTCACGGTTGTTTTTGCTCCTCTCAAAAGGATCAGAAGAAGGGGTCGGCCGCATTGATAGGCCAAAATGGTAGTCAGGGCACAAGCCATAAAGTTTAAGGCATGGACCTGTCTCAGGAGCAGACGTGGCAATCGACAACACCTGCATTATCGGGCGGCGAGAGAAAGGGCACTTAGGATTCAGAGACACTGCCAAAGGGAATGTGAGAGTAGGATTGCTCGCAATGCCAAACGGCGACGAAAAGCCTACTAAAACTATGTGCAGTTTAAGGCCCACTTTCGAGTAGCGGTCGATAAGGTAGTAAATGCAGGTGTTGTTAGTGCGGCCATCACCAAGGAGAAGGCTTAAGTTCTAAAGAGCTTNAGAGCTTCTGGGAGAAAGTCCACATATCGGACTTGGGAAAGCCGTTGCCTGACCTACTGGGTAGGCTCCCTGAACAGCACATGGCTCCGTTTGTCTTAGAGACAAAGGAGGTAGAAGCAACACTGAAACTGCTAGATCAGAACAGGGCCGCGGGCCCGGATGGGCTGCATCCAGCAATCCTGCAGCCCATTGCTGACATCATTGCAGGTGCGTTGGCTCAGCTTTTCAACCCATCCGTTGCCTTAGCAACGCTGCTGTCCGACTGAATCACGGCAAAATTGGTGCCAATCCACAAGGTTGGGCCAAGGGCGATGGCATCGAAGTATCATCCAGTAAGCCTGCTTTCGGTAGTCCTGAAAACATTCGAGCGTCTCCTTAGGGACAGGTTAATGGGATATTTGGACGACCAATACCTTATAACTGGCCAACAAAACGGCTTTGTCAAAAAACGTTGTGCCTCACCAACCTACCATAATTTCTGGACGAGGTAACAGAAAGGTGGGGTGCAGAGGATCTGTCGAAATCTGCAAACTTGATTTCAGGAAAGCCTTCGACTCGGTCAACCATAGGTTCCTCCCGCGTTAACTGGAGGCTCTGCGGGTAAACCAGCAGGTTGTAAGGTGGATAGAAGCGTATCTATGCGAGAGGACGTTTCATGTAAGGGTGATACAGGAAACCTCGGAAACGGCAGCAGCCTGTAGTGGGGTACCTCAAGGCTCAGTCCCTTGTCCCATAATATTTGTGCTGTGTGTTAATGATGCCACCGAGGTCTTCCGGAGCCCCAGGTTTTTATTCGCGGACAACCTCAAAGTAGTAGGGAATCCATCATCAGAGGACTTCCAGGAGGTACTTAAAGTAATTCGTGCCTGAGCGGACACATGGGAGCTACCACTAAACGCCGGCAAATGCAGGCACCTGCTGCTGAACAGAGGGACAGCGGAGGTGCGTAAACTAGGCGCTGGGGTGACGGAAGCCACTAAATCTACCGATGCTGTCAGAAATCTCATGCTTTGAGGCCTCAACGCAATGCGCGGCAGCCGCAGCGAAGGCTAATAAAGCCTTCCTAAGCAATACAACAAATGTTACAACAAATGTCACAGTAACCTAACAAAAATAGCCTTAACACCTAGGGATGACCATTAAATAATCGAAAACGAAAAGCCACGTCCATTATTCAAACCGCAGGAATTCATGGACTAATATCACGGTTTTTACTCGATATATGTTTAGCTTTTATATTGCTGTTTGGTACTGAAAGTGTACGTATTTGCCTATCTGCAGTTGCTACATCACGTGTTTCTTTCTTTTTTTTCATATTCACGGAGCCACATACGCTCCCTGGCTACTGCATTCATGGTCCAACGTATTTGGCACGAATTCTGGTTCCACCTGTGCAGCCAACGACTCAGCAGGTTATACACGGATCCAACGGCATGTCCTTTAAAACACGTGTGATTCCGGTTACCTTAGTCAACACCGCATGTACTTTGGTTCGGAAGAAGAACGACAACTGGTCAACCCAGAACGCAATCCTCGCTGGTATTTTGTTCAGATCCTAATCACGGCAACGCATCTTACTCGACAAGGAGTACTTTACCTCATTACCCCACTGTCCTCGATGTTTCCCCGACCGCGAACCTTTGTGAAAATCATGCACCTCAGCACAGCGCCACCTTTATCTTGCCGTTATCGAAAGTTGTTTTGCACTTTCTAGCGAGGGCTGCTTTGGCGTAGTCGATTATACGGTAAAAGCCGGACAATGGGAGACATTTGCCGGACAACACTTTTTATCTATATTCTGAATGTACGTTCACATTTTTACTTCAGTACCAACGCCATGTGACGTTTGTTTTATACGACTGAAAAACTGCTGTATCCATCTGCAAGGGGAACTTTCACTTTTGGCTTTCGCTCGGTTTTGCTTGTTATTGCGCTCGTTGGTCTGCTGGCCTTCGTGCTTTAAAGCAAACGTTCGTTAACCGGTATCTGTACTGTCTCTGTGACACGTACCTCAATAAACGTCTACAACCACAAGTCTTCTTCTTCTGTAACTTGATTGTGCTGCGAGCTCGGGGTTCCCGTTCTGAAGCGCGTCACGCTCGGTCGTAGTTGACGTTACTTCAATATGTACAAGAAAAGCACAAAAATAATTTCGGTTCGCTGTGCACCAGTGTCTAGAGAGTATAGAGTACTGAAGTAAGCTGAAATGGAGTGAAAGCTGCGGTATATATGGAACACAAAGTGAACAAGATCACTGAGGAAAATATAGGATGGGCGAAGTGTATTAACAGAACATATCAGTGCAAATAGAACAAAACCGGAATCGTAATAAATAAATAAATGGTGAGATGTGTGGACGTGCAGCAATCAAGAAGTAAAATAAAAAGAAATGGTCAGCAGCTCAATGGACACGAAAAGTGAAAAACAACCAAAAGAACGGATATGATGAAACAGAACAGCGTTGAAGCATCTGTCAAAGTATGAGTTCACTGTATACTGTGACACAGTTGACTTTTGTGACGACATATTCAATAGCTTCAGGGACTTTGATCAGTGGTGGATGATTTGGGTTGTTTAGACGTTGGTCGCTTGATGTAGGACTGACTACACGCTATGCACCCAACAGTAAAACACCTTGTAAGTGAGGCAGGGGGTCCGGAATGCGGACGCATGTAATTAAAGCGGTGTTTTCCAAACACAAATCTCCCAGCAAATACATAAAAATACTTTCAAAACTCCATCCATTCAGGTTTTGTCTCTATCCACCTCCACACGATCAACGCTTGACATCTTTACCGTGTCCGATACTTGTCGCTTTCACTTCTCGTTCTTGATCAAACTCAGTCGTGTATAACACAACTCAATGACATGGGTACACATTTTCAATCATTCCGATTCCGCCCCTGTGACTTTTCTTCTCCATGTCTCCTTATCTACAGAAATATAAACTGTCAGAAATGTGCTACTTTGTTCGCCTTCTTTTTGCATCAATTTCCGAATGAACTAAATGTCCAGTGACCGTCTTATGGTTCTCTTTGTTTGTCACGCAAAAATATACTCGCCTTCCGCGGTTTCTCAAGCCCACTAACTCTGTCGACCCGAATGTTCTACCATTTGTTGTACAAAATGATCGTGCACCCCAGCATGTCTCATGACTTTCGTCGTGATATATACCATTGTTATTGTTATTGTCAGGTACAAGAAATTTGCCTCTCAACATATTTAAGAGCAATGTCTTGACCACTGGAGATTAGAGGCTGATAGTGGGGAGTAATCATGACGGTCTTTCACCAGGAACAACCCAGAAGGCTGGAAATTTAGGAATCATAGTGACAGCAGACTATAAATGGACAGAACAGTGTGCCGCAGCGAGCTTTTCAGACTGAGGTCGGCACTAACATGGTGAAGGAGAGGACAGGCATTGCTTTCAAATGGATTCCAGATGAGCACCTAAAGGGGCTATGGAGTAACGAACATTTGTAATTGGACTTTCAACCCAGTTGTGATGGAGCTTACAGGATCACCTTGCCCTCTGCCTTCAAAACTGAAGAATGAAGACTGGGCAACTCATGGTATGAATTACCGCAGGACCTGTTGCAGCTAGGGAGCGTACATGCTGTCAAGAAGCAGCTCGATAAGCGTTCGTTGAACTTAGTTCCCAAAGTAGACGCAATTTTAAAAATGGGGAGTGCAATATCACGACCTGCGACAGTGATCCGGTCTCTAATTCTCCCGTGCTTCTCAATCACCCAGCATTAATCAGGAAAAACAACCGGTTTGTCAAAGGAAAGTATATTTTTTCCGGAAATTACCGGAGTTTAATCTGACTACGCTCAAGAGTATCTGGAAGCATAAATGCTTAGCAACCGAAGGTGTAGCAATGAACTCACGCACCGTTCAACGTGAAAATATATCACCGGAGGTTGCAGTGACTTAAACAAAGATGAAAGACCTAACTGAAGAAGCGTTCTCAGCATATCAAAGATCCTGGTGGATTCGATGCTACAACGGAGAAGGATGCACGAGCGAATGCTCCAAGCAACCAATGCCTACAACCATGCGACAGCATAGATACGGAACAGGCAGACCAAAGGTGGTGACAACTCTCGAGCATCTTACACTGTCGGTCTCAAGCCACTTCACATTGGTCAAGGAAACAGTGATAGGCTTTTTCAATTACTAACCACTCCAAAAGAGGAACGCTTCCATATGTGAGATCTCCTGATTGAAGAAGGGGAGATAATATTTTTTCGTTTCTTTTGCTCTGCAGAAATGAAGACGACTGCGATGTGAAGAAAACGTGTAGTACCACAATACAGAACACTTGCATTTGTAGGGGCCAACACCTGGTTTATTACCGCAGGAACCCGGGACGCTCGATTGGCTATAGCCATCGTTTGTCTCATGCAAACTGTGTGACTGACTGACTAACAGAACTAAACTGACCTTGGACACTGTATGAGACATTAGTGCGACCAAATATGAAGTACTGCAGGCATCTCTCCTGGAAAGGGATAAACAAATGCTCCCGGCATTGCAAAGAAAGTTCATCCAGATGGTCAGTGGACTGCAGGGTGAGTCATACAAAGAAAGACTGGTAGCCCTTGACCTATTCGCTTTCTACCGCCGTCGCCTGAGGGGTGAATTGATTGAGACGTTCAAACAACTCAAGGGACTGTCAATAGCAGATAGATCGTTGTTTACGCCAAATCTCAATCCAACCCTCAGAGGGCATGTACTGAAGCTGATGAAACCACGGGCCAACGGAACAGCCAGGGCACAATTTTCTCTTACCGCGTGGTAAACGTATGGAACAGGCTGCCATCTTCAGTAGTAGCAGCAACTAATGTTCTGCAATTCAAACGGAGACTGAACAACTACTGGGGCCACGCGTTTCCAGAGTATGACTAACACAAGTCTCAGTCAGTACCCACAAACCCCTTTATGTAGTCGTTTGTCTATTTCACCAACACTCCTATACCTCACCTAAGGCACAATTACTACACCGCTTTTTGTTACCGGTTCCGTAAGCTCTCATGGCAGGAGTAGCAGTCCGTGGAGGTGCGGTGCCTGTCAAATGATTGACACTGCTGATTCCCCGAGGGTGATCCTGCTCTTCATCTCTTCTCTTGTAGGTACACAAACCAACACACAACTGTGGAACTACCTGGCAGTCGTAGCACAGTGGGAACCACCAGCTCACAAGTGCAAGAACCTGGGCGTTCACTAGCCGAAGCCTAAAGTCCTGTGACCTGACCTGATCTGACCTGGCCTAACCATTCGTAGAAGACGGTGGGCAGTCCATAAACTGTATGCCACCCATCAGTCGTGAAACGGTTACAAACAAGCGCGCAACTATGCGCAGAAAGTGCAAAAGGA